CAACATTTAATCTTTTCTTCTAACTTCTGCCTAGCACTCCATGGTATTCATCAAATTCATTTTTGGTCTATTAATGAATATACTGGCTATCTTCCTGTTCCCATATGCTCATTTATGTTTTCCTTATGGACTTTTATATGTGGATCTTTTTGTGATTTATACCCAGAAGCTGGTTTTTAGGGCCGCTTAGTAGTGCGACATCTCTCTTTAGAAAGGCTGTACCCCTGTACAATTCCACCAGTAATATATAAAGTCTCCTGTATCTCCACATGCACTCAATATGTAGCATTATTCAACTTTGTAACTCTTGCCAAATCTGATATAATGTGATATCCCAATATTTTAATTTGCTTTTTTTCTTAATCACTAATGAGTTTTAACAACTCTTTAAATGCTTGTTACCCTTTGGACTTTCCTCTTCTGTTTCTTATACCTTTATATCTTTCATATCTATTTCTGTTTTTTTTTTTTTTTTTTTTATCATTCCAGTTTGTAGTTCTTCGTAAAGGGCTTGGTCCTTATGAGTCTGATCACCTGGTGGTGGTAGTGGCGAGGTAATTGAGAATGATGGAGATGTGGTGAATTATAGTGGTAGAGCTACCCAAAAGAAGACCTTTCGGAGTGTCTATATCTCAGGAGATTGAGGAGGAGGGACTTGGTGGGCAGTGGTTGAGGAGCCTGGGAATGGTTGGGTGCAGTCATCACAGGAGGAACATTGCTGTGTAAGCTATACTGATATCCTCAACAATCTGAGTTTCTGGATACCAGGAATCTCTTGGGCCTTAGGAAACTCCTACGCAAAATGTGGTTGGAATAGTTTAGCATCTGACACTTCTAGGACTTAAAGATGGTGATGTCACCCTGAGCTGCCATTCTAATCAGTGAGTAGATGCCATCATCAGAGGAAGAAGTCTAGCTAGGATTGGTAGTCAGGGCTATAACTTATCCTCTCAGTGCTTAGCACAGTACCAGTTTATAAGAATTCCACATATGTTTGAAATAGAAATTCAGCTATTGGTATTTGTTATTCTTCATATTACTTTTTCTACTGCTATAGATTCACTTGAAGGATTTTTTTTCAAAATATGCACAAACTGCTCATTAGCTAATGGCTATACTAACATAATGACATAAATAGTTGTATGGAAAATTTCACAGTATCTCGGATGATAATTATAACATTGAAATTGTCTTAAAGTCTGATGTAGAAATCTTAAATATGCACTCCATTTTTATAAAAGATATATAGAAAATAAGTTTTCACTTTATTTTTAATAATTTATATTATGACAAATTAAAATAAAGGTTCATGACAATTGTCTAAACAAAACTTTACAGTGGTTTTCTATAGAAAAAAATACAGTTAGATAACATTTTGAGAATTTCTAGTTGTGATTTTCTAAATCACAAGTTGTAGAGTCTCTTCTTCATCTTTGGTACCCTCTTGTGGTCAGTGGAAGGGATTGGTTTGGACTTCTTTTAACAATTATGTATAGTTTCATGTTTTTTATCTGCATGATAGACCTATCATTTTTATGAATATTGACTTTTGTTTTGGCTATATACAAATTTGGAGTAAAATTGACAGTTGGAGTTTTCTTCCCATTCCTTACTTTGCTGTGTAAAGTGAAGGTGTGGCACAACCACACTTACTAATCTTAGAAGCTGAGATATAATATGATCACTGTGCTTAGAGTAAATGTGGTATCATCTGGAAAGCAGATTGATTGCAGACCCAGAACTTACCTTATACTTTTGTCAGCTAATATTGGGTTTGGGGACTAATTTGCCATTTTTGATGATCTATTTTAAATTTTATAATACATATACACACACACACATACAAACACATCACACATATATACATATATATGTGACAATTTTATTTTATTTAAAAATGTTATTATTTTGTTATTAGACTTCATTTTAAGTGATTACCTAGTTCAAATGCACTTAACTGTATTTACAGGAAATGTGACAGTATAATGTAGTCTCTTTTTTTCAAATCATGCTCTGACAATAAGAAGACAGGAATCCTGTGCAGACTTTAGTAAAGATTCATGGGTTATTTTTCCCTTCCCTCTGCAGCATTTGTTTCAGAGCAGATTCTTAGCCTGATATCCATAACATGTAACCAAAAGATAAGAGATAGCTGTGTGGTGTTAAGTTATTAAATCCAAATGAGACGTGGCTTATATGAGGAGTACATCATGGCTTTGGGGACAGATGTGAATTTCAAGGAGAAATGCTCTTTGTTTTCAAGAAAATGCTTCCCTACATTATAGTTGTCCTTCATGTGGCCTACTCAGTTCTTTCATTTTAGGCTAGATCTGAGTGTGTTTTTGTTGTACATCATTGGAACCTTTGAGTAGATCTGTTGCTGTCCTGGTGAAGTACTAGGATTTGAATAAGAGTCCAGAAAGTGCTCTGGGAATGAGTTTTATATTGCCAGGAATGCTGACATGTTGGCACTGAATTGTTTCCAAAAATGCCATCAAACACTGACTGAAAACAAAGATACTAGTGTTGTCACCACAGCTGTGCTCTCTTTGCCTTTACCCAGTTTCTTCTATGCACAGTAAGAAATTTTAAGTCCCCTAAAATGAAAGTGAGTCAGCATTGTGTAATGTGTAATGTGTAACTGTAATGTGACTGGTTGCCCCCCAGTGTTTGTGCACATTGGGATTGAGTTAAGCTGTTAAGCTATTTGTGTAGAATTGTCCCTGGTATTATGGATTTTGTTTTGTTTTGTTTTAAACAAATGGACTGTCTGTGAGGGATTGTGGTGCCCAGTGTTATAAGAGGAAGAAGTTCCCTTGTTCATTAAATATTTATTGAGCACTTTCTCAAATATTCAGTTTTAAAAAGAGGATAGGGTACATACCTAAATTTCTCTCCTACAGTGTCAAACACAAAGACTGTAAGAAATTTATATGTAAAGCTCTGTGAGCCTTCAAAAGGGAGGGAGAGTTGATGGAAGGGACTTGTGAATGAGGCCTGTTTGAGTTGTGTGCTAAAGTGGATGTAACTTGAATATGTGGAAATTAGAAGAAATGAGCATTTTGTCAGAGGAGAAATGACCTGCAGAGAAAAAAGATAAGGAGCTCAAAAGTGCTAGTGGGAGAGACTTTTCAAAACGTTGATTGGGAAGGTCAATTGTGAGCATGAAATGCTAGATTAAAAAGTAAGCTCCATTGAGCAAAGGATGAAATATTCACCCAGGTGTCTTGTTGCAACAGTAGAGAGGACAAGCTTGTTCCATCCTGAGCCTTGGACTTCTCTGCTTCCTTCTGGGTCTGCTGCTCCACATTCTGTAATAGGAGTTTCTCAGTAGACCTGCTTTTTTGGATGTGAATACCACTCTTTATTTTTTTATTGTGTTTCTCCAGCCACATTTTCTCCTTATGTAATAAAAATCCCTTGAAGATTTTGACTTTTCTCATTTATCAGTCTAATAGTTTAATTTACAAACATATTAGTACTTCTTAAATGGCCCAAAAGTCACTTGAACTTTTACAGTGCTCTTCCCATTCGGTGTAATTTTTTCCGTTAACTTTCTGAAGTTCCATATTTGGAACTAGATCATGGTGAGTTAAAAATGTCAGAGGTGGCAGTGAATCAAAAAAATTACTTGGATCTATCAGTCTGAATCTGACAACTTCAGATAATGGGACAGACAGACCAGAGACCTGCCTGTCTTTTCCCTTTCTTCTTTCCTCCCCTCCTCCTCCTGTCCATCCATACATCTATCCATGTATTAAATTTTTTTTCTATTGATGTATAGTTGGCACACAATGTTATATTGTTTTCAGGTGTGCAATACAGTGATTCTACAACTCTATACATTATGTTGTACACTTCTCTGTATTGTTCCAATTTTAGTATGTTTAGTATACTAAACAATTTAGTTGTTTAGTATAAACAAGCATATACCCATCTATTATTATTTTTTATTAACCTCTTTGAAATACTTCAGCAAATAATGAAGGAAAACATTATGCATAATAATCAGAGAGCTTGTTAAAAAATAATAATTCCTGAATCTCTGGATGGGGATAATAGGAATCTGCATTTTGAATAGAAATACTTGACTCTCATTAAAGTGGTCCAGACATTGCATTTCCAGTAACACTGAAATAAAAGCAAAGAAGAGTACTTCTTTGGTGAATGAAATTTATGAGTATGATCACCTAGTATTTATTTCATAGGGACTCATAAATAGAAAAAAAGTTCCCTTGTGAATAACATATTTATAGTTGGAGAATATTATATGCCCAGGCATGTCTTTCTCCTTTAGGATTTTATTCCATTTGCATTTCTATAAGAATGCACCACCAGCTGAGAGGTATAGATTTCCCCTGCAGCTTCCCCTATAAGATAATACAATTTTAAGAATAAGCAAAGGTTAGCCATTAGTTATGTTGAGTGTATGATAAAGATGTTGTTAACCTTTTTGGTTTGATTTTGAACCATCTTACTTAATTATTTCATGCTACCAATTTTTAGAAGTTTGTTTCCCTCTGTTTCCCCTCATCAAGAATGGTTTGAAATATCAGGTATCTTTTTGTAGCTGGGAAATAATGATTCCTTGAAAGAGTCTATGTGAGCACTTCTCTAAACTGGTTATATGTTAACTCATTGAAATCACCAAAAAAACGAAATGAGACACTCTCTCTTGGTCCTATCTCACACTTACTAGATCAGAATTTCCTGTTGAGAATCAATTATAAAGTTCTCAGAGGGATTCTACTCTAGCCAACCTGGCTCCCTTCATACTATAGTTCCATGAACTTCTTTGAGAATTTTGATTACATATTTGAATACATAGTCAAATGACTTGTTTCACATCCTTCTTCCTACTCCATCAAGTTTTATACATATTTGGAGCTCACTAAATCTGTAGTAAATACTTGTATTGGACATTTGATGGTGATGGTAAAAAAAAAAATCAAAATTTTAGTCTCTAATGAGTATGTTTTGTTGTTATTGTTATCCCCTAGGATGGAAAGAAGAAGTTTGATAAGGAAAGTGAAAAGTACTATTCTATTCTTGAGAAACATTTAAATTTGTCTGCAAAGAAAAAGGAATCTCATTTGCAAGAGGTAAGTTTTTCCAATTGAAATGTGAAAAGGACATTAGCATTAAATCATGTGAAGTCCAAATTTCCAAAGGTGGTAGTATCTCAAAATATGCTACTCTTTTTAAAAAGTGTGTATGTATGTATTTTGAGAGAGAGAGAGAGGAAACTCTGGTGCCCACACATGAGCAGGGAGAGGGGCAGAGAGAGAGAGTCTCAAGCAAGCTCCTTGCTGATAGTGCCCCCCCCACACACACAACAAGGGGCTTGATCTCAGAAATCATGAAGTCATGACCTAAGCCGAAACCGAGAGTGGGAAGCTCAACTGACTGAGCCACCAAGGCACTCCCCAAATCTGCTACTCTTTAATAATGATGAGAAAGAATAGAATAAGACTTTTTTTCTTTTCTTATTGGGCATTTTTTCAATGTCAGGACCTACCAAATTCATGGAATAGCTTTTTTTATATCTGTTTTTAGGTGTTGCTTCTGCATTAAGGGGAAAACAGATCCACAATTACACATTATAAAATCTCTATTTTTTTTTTATCAATTTTCTTTTTTTTTTTTTATTTTATTTTTTTTTATTTATATATGACATTGTCAAATTGGTTTCCATACAACACCCAGTGCTCATCCCAAAAGGTGCCCTCCTCAGTACCCATCACCCACCCTCTCCTCCCTCCCACCCCCCATCAACCTTTAGTTTGTTCTCAGTTCTCAACAGTCTCTTATGCTTTGGCTC